ACATCAAATGCATAAGCTTCTTAGTCTTTATTCTCCACTTGAGGCAATCAAATCAGGATTGAGTGAAGATCCAAATTATAGATTTAAATTTAAATGTAATTAATCCTCATAACTACTTAGTGGATTATCAAAACACCAAAGATTTTTATCTTATGCGTCAACTAAAATAATCACAATCTGGATGATTAAAATCTCCTGCTGCAGCCTCATTAGGGGCTTGAAATGAACAAATGGTGCTATTATAGTCTGAGTACACATAATGTATTACAATACAATATGAAAAAGGAGTCATGTAATGTTTATATCATAGTTATTACTGCTCTTGCAGTCAGCCTGTGCAGCGTGGCCCATGCTGCATTCAGAATCTGAACTAATGTCCCAATCCAGCCCTGCTCTCCAATAAATTTTACTGAGGGAAGGCTGCACCGATCCAATACTGAGGTATCGGTATTGAACAGAAAAGGCTCTCTACTGTCCAAAAAAGTTTCATGTAGTATTTAGAGATTGTTATGGACTTTTTTCATACAAACAACAAAGTACATGGACTTGCAAGTTCTCCCTGTCTCAACAGATTTTAGTCCTTACTCAACAGCTGTTACTTGTTTGCTTTAAGAATTTCATTGGAATTCAGCCTTCAGTACGAGATGCAGGAGTGAATCATGCTTCAGCAGCTATAGTAAGAGAGCAAATCACATGACAGCTTTGCTAAGTGGTGGTCAAAGATCACATCAAACCCTTTAAACTCAAAAACGAAATCACTGTCAGGCATGTTTAGGACTGAGCAATTATGAACTCCAAAGTTAGCACGGCCTAAAACCACAAGGACATATTCAGCACACGTCATGTCTCAGGAGAAAGAGAGAGAAGGAAAGGCTGCACACCAAAACAAAAATCACAGGTGCAATAAGTGCTTATAATTCCAAATTTGAGTTTGTGTAACATTTAGTGGCTGTTCGAAGAAAACCCAACATTCCGATCAAGAAAGTATGTGTATCTCAGATGGGGGCAGTAAAAGCAACATGTTCATGTGTCACAGTTCTTCACAGAATAATGACTAGAAGTTGAGTTGAAGCTTGAACTGTGCCAAGTCCTAAAACCTGTGAAAGGGAAGTAGTACAGTAAAAAATATCAATTTAGATATGATGCCCTCTTGATGTTTTGGAACCTAAAATAATGAAAACTTAAAACAGAATTTACAATCGAAAAAAAGATTAGAGCCCAATGAGAGCTGCTTCTCATATCCCTTCATGTTGGTATAGGCATTTTACACAGACGACAGTTTGACATGTCACAGGAGGAAAAGCTGAATTCCACTCTGCTTCAGTTTCAAGATCCTGGTTATTGTGCATTCTGGCTCACGGCCACACTGCCATGACTTACATGGGACACTTGAAGGGAACTGAGCAATTGTTAATGCTACTTGTAACACCTGTCCTTTTCCTACTGTGACAGGTGGATCTGGAGCTCCAGAAGAACTTGTGAGCACAAGGTGATAAGAGCTGTTTTAGTTTAAAACATGATGACAAGCAGAGTCCAGATAAGATTATCTTCCTGCAAGGCACTTGATAATAGAATATGCCATGCCCTGGCATAATAGGCTAGGGTCCAATTCTAACCTGTGAGCAAAGGCTTCAGATTACCCTATGTGATTCACTATTTGACCTGAGCCTGAGTGCTCTGACAGAGAGAGCAGGGTGGGGGGTAAAGGTAGGCGTGATAAAAAGAGAACTATCTGTTCAACAACCACATCTAAACGTATATATCTCGTCACTTCTGCAGTATTATTTACCATTAGTGGATTTTGAAAGAGACCCAGACTACTAAATCATCTTGAAAGAAACATCTACAAGGATATCGGGCATTCCTATCTATCTCTCTGATGTTATCAATCAGCAATTCACCTGCTGTACATTTCTACCAAAAAACTTAAGCCTAGTGGGCACACTTACATGAATGTTAGGGTGTTCAAAATGTCAGTGTCAGTGAATATGATACAGCTACAATGACATCAGAACTTGACAAAGGTTATTTCTGGATTTTCCTGCTTGTTTCATTGGATAATATAGCCACATTTTAGGTTAAATCCAGTCTTTGTTGTGTAAGCACTATCACAGTTTTTCCACAGCGGTGAAAAAATTATATTTTCCAGACATGCTATCAATAGGGGAAATGAGAAAAAATGAATTATTGGCTAAATGTAGAAAGGCATGACATGTAAGTAACCATTTAGTATTATATTAATATAAAATATGTCTAAAAATGTCTCGTCCAAGAAAAAATGCTATATTAGAGTAAAAAGCAGTTTCCATTTGAAAAAGCCTATCCACTTTTTTCCATAAATTGCATTAATCTTTTGAAATGTAAGTATTCAATTCTTTTTGAGTCTCACAAGCTTATTAAAATAATGGCTCATATTCAGACCGAAATCACCCAAATATTAGACACTGATGTAGGAACGCTAACATTTCTGTTTAGCCTACATGCTTGTCAGAGTCGAGATAGAGATATTTAACTGCACGACAGGATTAAAGATGTGATAGATTATGATTTTATAGAGAGGATAAACTTTTTCACTCGATATTACATGATCACTGCAGGCCAAAGTAAGCTCTGGAAGAGCAGGAGATTTAGGCTTGTCCACCATGGGGCACTGCAGTATGAATGCCCTTCAGCTTTTATTTCTGTGCATGCCCCTTTCAGCCAGCCGCTCATTGGGTGATAAGTGTAACCAGTGATATGTTTCAATTCAAGGACAGCAAGGAAAGCAAGCAGTGATAATAAGTTGTATCAGCCACCGTTTTCAGTCTGTTCAAGCCTATGGGCGTTTCTTTGCGGTTGGTGAGTCACTGCCTCAACTTGCGGGAAAACAACTATTACCTTTACTGACACATACCTGAGATACAGTGACATCTCTAACGCAGTAGGTAACAGTTAAACACGTTGTGTGAAAACAAAGCACGAACAAGGGCACGTTGGCAACTCCTGGACGTCGTCCATTACGCCCCGTGGTAACAAAATGTCATTCAACAGCCAAGTCTGCTATAAATAGAGTTTTAACAGAGTAGTTAGCCAGCTATGCTAACCTTTAGCTAGCTAACGCACAGCGCCAGGGTCGTTAATGTGAACGTACCTCTGTGCACTCGTTACAGTCTGTTCATGTACCACAACAAATGGAAAATATTGCAATACATACCTAAGAAGCGGACCCATGTATCACGATAAATGTCGACTGTTTTGCTTGTTTTTTCTACCGCGGGATCCATGCCTTCCTGTTTCTCCTCCATCCCCTTATGGCTGTACTAACGTTACATGAACTTGCTGAGTGGAGTGTAGAAAACCCGACAGACAGCAGGGGCAGTGAAGGGGGCGTGATCTTAACTACAGCATCCAACTGGCTGCAGAAACATCTCAGCCCCGCAGCTCCACCGTGCTAATACTGTATGGCTAATACAGTTTATTGGTTAGGCTGGTTAGGATATAGACTTTTTCCATTTCACTATTCAATTACACACACACATACTCTCCACTAATTACACTTTGATGGTCTATTGTGGAGAAATGTCTGCAAATGCCATAATCACCTGAATGAAGATTTGTAGGTATAAATTGCAGTTACATTTTTTTTCTCCCGACAATTTATTAACTAGTAAAATAATCATTTAGTGTTTATGAGTGTAGTAACTCCACAGTGGGCCTAAAACAAAACATTTTACTATCTGATGACTCCTTTTTCTACATCATTTGTGTCTTTTTAGTTTTTTTTTTTTTTAAACATTAGCTGTTATTTTAAGAAAAAAAGGAAAATCTGAAAAATACCAATAATGTGGTTTTTAAATCACCAAATTTTGCTTCTTTTGTGAGGGCATGTCTTGCTGCAGTACCCTGTTTAATTTTGATATAGCACTTTTATGCTGCATATTTCCGACTAAAGCATTTAATCAAATTACCAGAGACAACCTATAAGGCTACACAGCAAGCCTGGGGTGGGGTACTATTCCAGCAGCATGAGTAGCCTACTGGTGGGTTTCTGGGGCTATGGGCAAAATATAACAAAGCTGCTATCTGAAGTCTCCTCTTGTGTGTTCGTGCTTGATGGGTACAAGACATGCACATTGCAAAGAGTGAGGGTCGATACAGTTCAATTTTGCCCGGGGCCCTGCATATGGGTGTTCTCTGCTCTGCATGTGGGTGTAGTGCAAGCTTAGTAGCTGACAAGCACTCAGTGGAAAGACAGGTCACAGAAGAGACAAAGTCAAAGAGGTTGGGAGAGGACTATCTCACAGTGGGGCCTTTGGAACATTGCAGAGCGTTGTTAGTTTTCTAGTTGGCAACACACTCATTCATCCCAATCTGCTGTCAAGAGCACACTGACGTTCATAACAGAAATGTTGGTAAAGTTTGAATGTTGATACATAAAGCAAAACAAGGTGGCAACTCAATGGTACAGGTGATGTAGTATAGAAAAATACATGTTGACAATGTCACAGCAAAAGTACTGTTTAAAAATGATGTCATTCTGCAGCTCCAGCTTTGGTTTCAGAATTACAACAGTTAGGCAGATGGATTATCCAGGGATGAGAGAAGAGATGTAATTTAAGGCCATGGAACATAAAGGTTATTTATAAACTGCATTTCATTAATTCATATAATGTGAAAGTACTTGAAAGCAAGTGCAAGACCATTAATGTTACAGGAACTTATGAAGAGAACCTGCACCCACATATAAATTCTGCACTGTCCAGGTTTCCCAAAGAATACCTGGATTACTATGATTAGGATGATTATTTATTATTATTAATAGGTCATTACTGCTCTCCTGCCGACAATTGTCCACATCCAATGTAATAATTTACATTGACATGACCTAAAGCAACCGTACAGTAGGCCTACGTCCAACAAAAGCGTCCATTCTGATTGACAATCAAACGTACCAATGGTGTTGAGCCATGCAACACAGTGAACCAATGGGAAGGAAGATGACGATTCAGTGGGATGAGTTTTGACTTACGATGGCTGCCGTACGCAGGGACCATCGTGACAGGGAGTCCAAAACACCATTCAGACGGAAAATAATGCCTTTTAACTCATACTGGACTTTCGCTTTTCTTATTCTTACTGCGAACTGGTGTTATGCCGATGATGATCACGAAATGGAGGAGTTTTTGAAGCGGGAGTATTCCCTTTCCAAGCCGTACCAAGGTACCGCTACCCGTTACCCCATTAAGGGATACGATTCCCAGGGACTGGATGAGGGGCGAGCGACATATGTTTCCAGAATAATTCAAAATCGATCATTACATTACATTACGTATGTTCTTATGTATCTATGCTGTTACGCTCTTTTGGTTTGATTTGTCTTTTAACGTTTTCATTCATCAAACGAATCTTACTGCTGTAACATTCAGCTAAACAAGCCTTGTTAAATATAGGCTCCCATATTTAATACTTGACATTGTGCTTCCTTTCAGACCTTTTGTTTGAGTGCCTGACTTTGTACTTTTTCCTCACACAAACAGATGTTTTGTTTAGTAATAAAGCAGAGCCGTTTTCACGTTAGGCTCAATGAGTGAGCTTTTCCCATGCTGATGGTGCTTTTTGCATTCTCAGGTGTGGGATCCTTAGGCTCCTCCCACTGGGAGCTGATGGGGGATGCCATGGTAACCACTGACCAGGTGCGCCTCACACCTGACATGCAGAGCAGGCAGGGGGCAGTATGGGGCCGCATTGTGAGTATATGCAAATACTGGTACTGGTAAACTGTAGCACTGCTGGTTTGTGATATGCCAGTATTTCATTTCAAATTGAGGTTAAAATACAATGGTTTTAGCCGATATATTCACAGTGACAGCCAGGACACACAGGATTCGGTGGGGGTGGGGGGGACACTAAGTAATACTATAAATATTTTTGCTTTCAGACAGCTTGGCTGCCATTTGGCAGTTCAGCTATAGTGAAATTCATTCTCTGCATTTAACTCATCCCAAGTAGCTGTAGGCAGCCACTATACAGCGCCCAGGGACCAACTCCAGATCTAGGCCACGAGTGCTGCGGTGCCAGTGGCACTGGCTGGAGAACCAGAACATGTTTTTGATGATGATATGTCATCTTTTTTGCTGCAACTCTGTTGGATCTTATCTTGCACTTACCAAATGACGACAACACGCCCTTATCATCTGCTGCCCACAATTGTGTGATTGGGTTGGGTGAAAGCCTCATAAATCTATATGCTGACACAAATGCCACCCAGCTCGAAGACTTGAAAATTCTACTTTATTTGGCCGCTGAGGGCCTTGTAGCTGCTTACCATCAAGCTATGATCTTACTGGACTAAAATGTGTCTACTTGAGATGTGTAGTATTCAAGTTTCCCCTTGGATTTGTAGTTGCCCTGACCTCAGCCCAACCTAAGCCCTTAGGTAATCAAGGTTTGCTTGGGTCTGCCGCAAATAACTTAATCTCTTATTATCCTTTCATATGTTTATTTCCTAGATGTTGGAAACACAATGTGTTTCAATGGCTTTATTGAACTTGTGTGTGTATCTAGCCTTGCCATCTGAAGGACTGGGAGATGCAAGTGCACTTTAAGATCCACGGGCAAGGAAAGAAGAACCTGAATGGTGACGGTTTGGCCATTTGGTATACTAAGGAACGTATGCAAAAAGGTAAACACATATTATTTACCTAATCTTTCTTCTCACCTCATCAGAAACACATTTTTATATATTGTTAACACTCTTCCTTCTTGTTCTTTTACAGGTCCTGTGTTTGGAAATATGGACAACTTCACTGGCTTGGGTGTGTTTGTGGACACGTATCCCAATGAGGAGAAACACCTAGAGGTATGCTGAAGCAGCACTGTGGTGTTATGGGAAAGTAAAATAGGGTCAAGGGCAAGCCATGGACAAATTTGTGTAAAAGGGCTGTCTATGTGTTCTTTTGTGCAACCATTTGGAGACAGGCGCAGAAGAAAAGATATACTCCTCGCACACAGGTAACATTTGATGCTAAATCTATGTCTAATTATACAGCCTCCATTGGTCTTTAAGCATGCTTCCCTGACTGCAAACATACACTTTTCTTCCAAATAATACTGTGACATGTTTGTTTTATTTTTGTTCCTGCATGGTTGCTGTGTGGTCTCAGAGTAACATACATTTCTAAGTGGTTAGAGTATTTAATGTAGATCATTCTAGAAATAAAGCATGCAACTAAATGTGACATTCAAGTGAAAAAAATAATGCAAGTTTGTAAATATGATTTCTTTTTAAAAATTGACATTATTCATGGTTATAAACAACAAAAGTCACAGGAAATGTTAGATAGAAATCTCAGCTGTTTGCATGGCACTGTTACCTGTGAAAATACACGATTCCAGGCATAAATGCAACGTGTGAGCAACCCAGTACAAATCTTCTCTGGCCAATGAAAAGTATTATGAACTGTCAGTGCGATGATAGCGTATGATGAGGGACTCATTTAAGTCAGGAGTATTTCCTCATCACTCTCTTGTCCTCCTGTGACCACAAGAGGATCTTCCCCATCGTCCTGGCCATGGTCGGGAATGGCAGCATCAGCTACGACCACGAGCGGGACGGCCGGCCCACAGAGCTGGGCAGCTGCAACGCCATGGTGCGCAACCTCAAACATGACACTTTCCTCTTCATCCGATACGTCCGCCGCAGACTCACGGTAAGAGACACACACTTTGATCTCTGTCTTCAATTATCCACAGTAATAACACTGCTTAGCACACGCAGACATTTCATGTCCTCAACTGTCCAGCCTGTTATTAGCACACACAGGCTGGACTGGGGTAATATTAATTTAGCCTTTATTTATAAGGTGTAGGTTGGCTGCGCATGTGCTCGTACTTAAAAAAATTAATAATGTGACAAGTACAGACACAAGAGGATTTAAAGCAGGTATAGGGCAGATTATTTCACAATATAACTGACTTCATCATATAAAATGCAGCATTGAGTTATTTAATAATCTTGTAGCATCCCCATTATCCAGGGTCTGCTCCAAGTAGCTGAGTAAAACCAAAACTATTCCATGTCGAAGATTTGAGGGCATTTTATGTTTTACTCACAAAGACATTCGGATAACTCAGCAAATTTGCCAGATGCCAAAATATTTACATCCTGTGACCCTCTGAAGGTCACTGAAGCTCCCTGATTGCCTCTGTTCTTCAGGTGATGATCGACATCGAGGGGCAACATGAGTGGAGGGACTGCCTGGACTTACCCGGGGTGCGGCTTCCCCAAGGCTATTATTTTGGAGCTACAGCCATCACTGGAGACCTCTCGGGTAAAAAAAAACAAAACACCAGTAGTTGTAGCTTTGTCACTGTAAACTTGTCACAGTTTAATACTAGTGCCTGGAATACTGAATTTCTGTATTTATAGTTTCTCATGAGAGACACTGGAGTGTAATGTATGAATTTGATGAATCTGCACATTTGATCAAAGACAAGTTTTTATGATATATTGTGCATAATTATAGGAAGATGGACCTCTTCCCTGCACCTTTCGTCCTTAAATTTCAAACATGATAAAAAAAATATATATATTAATTTTTTCAGAAATATAGTCTGCCTGTTTTATCTGGGAAAAATCATCATTAGAGCTGAAAAGATTATTTTCTCCTGCTGCTCGGGTGTGTATGGATCATTAATTTTTGGCGGAACAAACCGATCTGTGCAGAAGATTTAGACATTACTGAGAAGTGTATTGATGAATACACTGTAGCTTGTCATGCTGTAACAGCTACGTAGAGATAACATTAAAATTCTGTGAATTGATCCTTTTAAGGAATAAGACGAGTATGATACAGTCAGCATATTCCCATTACTGCTTCATTCACACACACGGAATCCCATTTTTCACTTTCAGCATATGAATTGCTGAAAACATTTGGGCAGATATGTGTAGCGATACAGAGGTTTGGAACTAGACTAAGAACAAAGTCATGTCCCCGTAATTAAAGGATTGTAAAGGATATCGACCTACTGTCCCAACCTTTTTAGATCCTGTTAACTGTGCTACTCTGAGTTACAATATAATAAAATATATATTTTTGTTTCACTGTATCTTCAGTCAGAGACACTTGATTCAAGGATTGTTATCATTTTAAAAAGGGTTACACCATAAGATCTGGCAGAACAGGCTCTGCAGTGAAAGTGTGAGGCCCTTATAAATTATCACTTCTAATTGATATGTCATGTGTTTTTGGTTTCATTTTCTGATTCTAAATTCATAGATAACCATGATATCATTTCCCTGAAACTCTACCAACTGACGGTGTTGCAGAGTAAAAAGGAAGAGGAAGAGGAGGAAGAGGAGATAACCATACCCAGTGTAGATAACATTGAACTACTCAGATGTAAGACACACACTCACACATTATTGTTGAATTACATGAATCCCCTATTGTCAGATGTCACTCTCTTCCTCTCCCCTTCTCTGTCTTTCTGCTGCTTGTCAAGTCTTTCCTCCATCACCTTCACTGTCATCCCTCCATCCATCCTCTTTATTTCTCACCTCACCACCTACCTGCTTCCCCTTCCTTTAACTCTCTGTTCTCGCTTCCAGCTGGACAGACCGAAGAACGGATGAGTGGACTAGCCATTTTCTTCACCGTGCTCTTCTCCATGCTGGGCTGTATGTTCCTCATTGTCGTTGGCCTGGTGGTCTACAGCCACTGGAACGAGAGCCGCCGCAAGCGCTTCTACTGAGAAAGACATGGTGGAGATGGTGGTAACTGCTTTGGTCCGTGGGCCCAGCTGGACTGAGGCGAAAATGAGACGCTGCTGTTGGTCAGTAGAGCGCAGTAGGTCGTTTCATCCTGAGGACAACACTATTTTGACAGGAGATAGAGTCGATGTATCACCTGCTACAAAGAGCCATTCTCCAACTCTGCCACTGGAGGTCATGAAGCAGTAGGAGGACTTTATGTCACACTTTGCCCTCAGCCCCTGTCTGACGCACACCAACTCGGCCTTACCATCTCCACCTCTGTACTATTTACAGTCATGCAGTATGGATTTCAGATTTTATGGCTTTGAGAAATATAAATACATAAGTATCCAAGGTGTTCCTACCTGCAGTATGACTTGAAGCTCTAACCAAATAGCACAAAAAAAAATTGTATCATCTTTACAGTAGCTCCTTACTAACAAAAGCTGCGTCCCCACTCTTCTTTGCAGTAGAAAAAGCGCTTTATACTCGATCATTTTGACTGTGTACAGCATACTGTATATTCTATTCCTGTATTTGTAGTATGCATGACATTCGTTGAAGTTTTTTTGTTTTTTATGAATCGTCTACCTTGTTGTAGACCTTTTTTATGCGTTTATGTAAAGCATATGGAAAACTGAGCTCTGTTTCGTTTGCGCATGTGACAAAGATTTGGGCGTTTCAGGGAAATCTTTACTTTAAACTGTTGTTCGAAATGTTTATTTATATTTGTCACTGTTCCCTTCCCCTTAATGTTATATGTGTATTAGAGGAAATGCATCATCGCCTTTTGGTCAGGTTAGAGCAAATTCTAATAAATATATTTAAAATAGATCAAGCTTTGCACTGAAGGAAACATTTTAATGACTACTTATTTATTGTATTTTGCCTCTTGCTGACACTTTTTCTTTGCACATTGGACACTAAAATTAGCTTTTCTGTTTTTTGTTCCTTTTGTGTTCTATGTAGACACCACCTCTGTGTTTCTGTCATGCAGTATTGTATATTAGTATAGTGTTTTTTTTTGCAGTGAACTGAACAAACATGCTGGCTTGGCCTCAGGCTGCTGTCTACTTTGGATCTGGGTGTTTGCTAGCTGTTGTTGATCTGGCCCCACCTTCTTCTTTATGTTCTGAAAATCGCCTCAAGCCAACATCATATATTTTATGTGGTCTTTTGTTTTCAATTGTGCAGTGCGTGATGACTTCCTCATTTCCTGTTGCCACCTCCACAGCTGCCCTACCTTATTCATATATTGTTTGTTGCTTTGTATGAAAACCGTGTGCCTCGTGTCCATTCAGTTACCCACAAATTACATTTTGTAACCATTTATAGCTCTCCTGAGCTCTTGGCATTATATCATTAAAGACCTACATCGGTATGGTTTGACCTCTGTCTGATAACAAGTGCGCTATAGAAATGTCATGATCAAACTTTTTAAGCTTTCATGGCGTGTGTTTTTAAGCGTGGGCAACAACAAGTTGTGTGTTATCCTAATCTATGTATGATGTTAACGTCCCATCAGTAATTTGATGCCTAAGTTGCCTCTCGCACAGCTGTGTAATGATCCTCCAGATCTCAGCTTTGTCACATGTTTGGGTGAAACACTATTTTTTCAGTAAGTACTCAAGGAAGCTTTTTTCCCCCCTCCCAGGCTTTAGAGATGCTCCAACATGTCAGGATCCTGCAAAAGGCTCCCTGAGGTTAAACGGAAGAAATCAAAGTATTTTAAGTCAAAGAAGTGGCAAGAGTCAGTCAGTTGAGTGCCAATGTTTGTTTTATTAAAAAAATAAAATACAAATGATGACCCAACGAGTACACAGCAGACTTCTTACCAAAACATTTTTCTATTGTCTATCATTCAGTGCTTTAATTAGCTTTGTCCTCTTTTTCCACCTTTCTCATTTTGGCGTGTTTAAAGTTATTAGGGAAAAATGTAGAAAGATCTGATCGGTGTATATAGATAGATGCCTGCTTCCTTCTCAAACTAGGATGTTTCTCATTTTGGCTAAACAAAATAAAAAAATTTTAAAAACCACAAAGCTCAACCACGGCAGTTTGTTATCATCTGTGGTTGAGAAAAAGTACAGCTTACAAGCTGACAAGTTCAGAGTGTTGAGTGGTCCTGTATCAGCCTCAAATGTCTAATGTAAACTGACTGTGTTCCATGTTGAGGTCTTTCATATGTATAATATATAAAAATGTTGAAATTGATGGTGTAATAACTGAGGATTTAAGGCAACAGTTAATTATTCAGTCAGTGAAAATTCATCATGATGGAAAAAGAAAAAAGCTGCTGCTTAAACTGAAAAGAACCAACGTATCCACTTAGTGCAACAAAAATGAGGGTTAGGAAAATGGCAGACCAAAGATACCAAATACGAATTAATCCAACAAAAAACAATATATTCAACTTTTTCCTTCGACTAACACATCTTAATAATGTGGTTTATCCATAAGTCAGGAGAAGAAATATTAGTGGTTGAGGAGGCAGGCAGGAAATCACCAAAAAAAGAATATATAAACTCGAATGGCTTTTTAACTCAAGCCCCTGACACCGAAGCATACATGCTCACCACATTAATGTACACCCCCCCCACACACTTTTCTTTAACAAATACATATCAACAGACCAACCAAAGTAAATTACAGTACAGTGCAGTGCCACACGTACCGAGTGTTATATTGCTTTTACTGGTGCTCACAGACGAAAGACAGAGAAAGTGAGAAAGGGGTCGCAGCATATAACAGTAGGTTTATGGTTTTTGCATAGCCTAGTTGAGTAAATTTCAATACACTACAGAGGTGCGTGATGCAGAAACAAGGGGGAGACAATTATCACGAAACAACTGCTTTGGCTTTATGAGACTGGTGGGTCAAAAAATGTGTTAATTTAAAACTTTGAGCACTACACGTTAAAGACAACCCTGAGAGTGGGAAACCAAACAGACCATCGCCGTGGGAAACCACACACACACACACACACACACACACACACACACACACACACACACACACACACACACCGGTGAAAACAGCGATGGTCTGTGTGGCATGGAGATGGCAGCGACTTTGGTTGATTATTCCGTTGACACTATTGCATGTGTGGATGTGCCCTCCCGTTTCCAAGGGTCCATGTTTGGAGAGGTGCAGCTGAGAGGAACAAACGGCTACTGCGTTGGCTACAGTTTGTTAAGCAAGACAGGGCTTGGTGGAGGGTGAAGTCACGGTCCACAGAAGAGCCAACGAAGCAAATACTCCCGTCACAACCACACATGCAGCTAATTACATGACAAAAAATCAGTTGGGGGGGGGGGGGGGGGGGGGTCACATCACGCACCTCTGTTGAGGATGGATGACAAAAAAAAATGCAAAGTTAAAGCCTATAAAACGAGCATACAGAGTCATAAACAATCAGCTATTGTTAGCTCCACCACAACATTAAAAAAAGGACATCCACATCCAAACACTGACCATGTTCAGATAGTGGATCTCGGCAACTGTGGCTTTAAATGAACAGCATAGAGCGGACAAAATACTCACTAAAACAGATGGATGGATGTTTGTCCACAACTGATGACCGATATAGCCCTTAAACTCCATAAGCATGTGAAAACCAGGGAGGCATAGTAGCTGAAAAAACTATGGACCTCAAGTTTACTCATGCACAAAAGAACCCCTATCCATCCCTCATTCCTCACCACGCTCCCCGATTTTTTTTGTCTACATATATAAACACAAATAATCTCCCGTTGGAATACATTTTTTTGTCCTCCAAACACAAACCACAAATCACAACAAAGCCCTAGAAAACAAAAATGACCGTTTTTTTACTTGTTTTCCTCATGCTTTCAAGTCAGTTAACATCACAACCTAATTGCGACCAGATTCGCGGAAACAAAAACAGAATGAACACAAACTCAAAATCTGGTCTTGACAAATTCCATCAGTGCCACAACTAACTAGACACACAGTACTTAAAATTCAATACATCCACCCCTCAGATACAAAACCGTAAGTAAAACTATAAAACATGTGAGTTTAAATCTTGTGGCTTTACTTTTCTTTTTTTTTTATATAAACCACATCCTCTTCTCACAAAGTAGGCGCACTTTCTCAGAACAAGCTCAGATGCAGTTTTCTATTGATATGAAAGCATTCCTCTGGAACAACACAAATATTACCATTCCAAAGAAAGACAGAACAAAACCACTTATCAACATCTACTCTAGTAAGGCAGTAGCACATAGAGGCGGTATTTTATTGTGTAGCTCCATTATCATTTACTCTCTAGAGATGCAGCAAGGCAGCTTAGGTGACTTCTGCTGATGGGTGTGCAGTCACAGTGCAACAGCTCCTCTTAAAAGGTCATTGTCATGTTAGTTTGGCTTCATATTTAAACACCTGCTCCACTACGCAACACAAAGACTGCAAAGCTTTCCCCCACTGCTGTAAAACTATCTAACAGCATGTTAGAGTACGCCTATTTAATGAACATTAAAACAAAATATTTCAATTTAGGTCTGGCAGCTGTGTGTTCATTTTGTTTCACTCTATATTGTTGGGTACACTGGCCTGCTTGTATCATTTTGCAAGATTAACCACAACACTACGTAGCATTGCTCAAATGGTGAATCACAGACACAATAAAACAGAACTGCAGCCAGTACTGGAGCTCTGGGCTGCCACTAGTTGGAGGAAGGCCGAAACCCTACTGAGCTGCGTAAGTCCAAAAATTATACACATTTATGTGCTGAACCCAGTGTCATGTCTTATAAAGAGGCAAAGAATTCCTTAAATATGTTCTTGTCAGAGTTCAATCAGTGCTGACAGAAAAGAGACATACCAATGTATTTAAATGCCTGAAAAAATATATCGGGAAAGCAAGTAATGTTCGCTATATTTAAAAAACACGTTTGGAGTCTCTTGCGTAAGAAATGCAAGTTTATGGATTTATCTAGACCAGAATATTGCACCACAGAGTTTCACATCATGATAATGATCCAGGCCAATTATGAGCAGTACTTTGTGAGCATGTGTGCTTGTGTGAAGCAAAATGACTGACCTGAGTCTTTACACTGTGCCCATTTTGACACACAGTCTCAAAGCAGACAAATTAAAAGTTTGTTCAACATTGTTCCAACCAAAATTCTCAATGAAACATTTGCTGACTTGTCAGTTACTGCTTCTCCTGCAGAAACATTTCTCTTGCAACAAATAATTCTGGTATGCAGTGGTTTTCCCATCTGACAACACCTCGTTTGACTGCTATGCTTTGAATACATACTGTACAGTATATAGATAGGGCAAGGAACATGACATGCAGAGAAGCATGCAGTTAATCACAATAGATTCTGCACCGGTGCCGACACTGACTAGACCGCAGAGCAGAGCCTGCATCCACCTTAACTTGATAATGTACCCACCCACTCTGCTGCCAATGGAAAATACCACTGCACACCCCTCAAACTGCCAAGAGCTACAGGGGCCACAGAGAATCGAGACAGCACAAGCTAACGAGCTACTAGCACTGTATAATAGCATAGCATGGCTCACACAGTCATAACAACACAATAAAACTAGGTTCCAGGCCAGGGCACATTAACTTAAGCATCAGTCCATTTCTTCACCGCAACATCTGGGCTGTGTAGCAACTCGTTTAGTAAAAGAGATGACTAATGCAAGTAGCACAGCTGCTAGAAAATGCTAATGAACTCAAATATAAACACAGAAACCCATGCCTCATGCAAAATACCAGTGCCTTTAATAGTTAATCAACCTCAGTAAGTATTTCAACCAGATGCTACAGCACTAAAGATGTATATACACACACACACACGACTCAACCTTTCCCTACCTCACTATAACATCCACTCACTACTCCACACTCTAGCAGCCCCCTGCTAGGAGCTTTGTTGCAATTAATGGTGACACCTGTGGCATTTTAAGCATAGCTGGTTATGAAATGACAAAAACAACAACAAAAAACAAAAGCAAGTATATCTTTCGTTATGAACATCCAAAACTAAATATATTTTCGTGAAGAATGAGCTAAATGCTGCCACTAATCATTCTGATATAACACAGTAAATTAAACACACAGAGCCACCACAGGGCTTTTTAAATTTGGTGGCAAAGCCCTCTCAACTATTACTATAAATTGAATGCATTCAAAAAACCAAAGTGGGGAGATCCACACAATGCACACAATCAATAAATCATTAAACGTTTTTCACTCCTTACCTACAGTCATGCTAATTGGTGACCACCGAGCAGTGGAGACCACAATATGGATATCAAAAAGGAATAAAAGGGCAGGGGGCAAGGGGTATGACATTTAAATCCTAGACACCAAACAACAAACTAAACTCCTTCTTGTCT